TCATAAGAAAATTGGTTTTTTTTTTTTTTACATTGCTTTTTAGATAATTATCACACTTTTGTTTAGCTACAAGTCTTTTGATTCTTTTCATAATTTTTTTTATAGTGAAAAGCAATTTTTTACAAGCATAGTTGTTGAAAAATGGTGGTTGTTTGATTTTCAAAAGGAAAAATATATAATATCAACAATAAATTTTATATATATATATATATATATATAGCTTTCTTATAACAGTTTTACTATTAATTTTACAAATAATTACAATCACCCCAAGTTGGCCCTCAAAAAAAATTTTATAATACACCGAACAAACCCCACGGCCCAATCAGTACACCAACCATCCAATAAACCCCCCCCAACCACCACTGCCTTCTCAGCACACCAATCAGCCATCAGGCCCCCAACAAAGCACACCACCACACAAAACCAAACAAACCCTAGTCCACACAACAACAACCACCCCCTGCACACCCAAAAGCCAACAAAACAACCCCCACACCACCAATTAACACAAGAACCAAGCACTAAAGGGAATCCAAATCAAATTACCACTCAAAAGCAAAAAATTATTTTCTCAAATAAGGTAAACCATATTTATCTAATCTAATCAAACCTTTTAGTAAAATAGGAATATTAGAATTATCAAAACATGTTAAAGAAATCAACTCAGCTCCCATCCAAGCCAAAAAATCAGCACAAACATTACCTTCTCTCCAAATATGGGAAATAGAATAATCAACTTGAGAAAGCATACTTTTAATATCCCTAAGTAGATAAAAAATATATGCATTACCAAGGTTAGAATAATTAAGAACATGAATAACTAATAAGGCATCAACTTCAATTCAAAGCCTTAAAAATCCCCAAGATAAAGCAATTTTCAAAGCATGATATAGAGCCTTTAATTCAGCATACAAGATATAATAAAAAGAAAGAGGGCAAGAAAAGCAAATAAGCAAATTACCTTCCTTATCTTTCAAAATACCACCACAACCACACTTACCATTTGCCACTTAGCCATTACTGTTAATTTTAATGAAAATATCCCTCGGCTTTCTCCAATAGACAAACTTAAAACAAATATCAGTCTCATTGTCAATGATCTTAGAACAAAGTTTCTTAGCCACATCCTTAAAGCCACAAAACTAATTATTCTTAAAAAGATCAACATTAAAGAGATTATTAATCTTATCTTTGGCTCTAGCAATAATTATCTTATGGTTCATAGGAATGTTTTTATACTTGGCATCATTTAGATCTATCCAGATAAACCAAATGAGAGTAACAGCCATAACCACTTTAATGTGTCCTCTAGTAGTTTTATGAAATAAAGCCATCAGAAAATGATTAAAATAGAGATGACCCGAAAAATAGCAAGTATTAAAAAAATCATCATAACAAAGCCAAATTTTAGTAGCAATAGCACCATTAATAAAAAGATGATCAATACTTTCAATATAATAACAACTTAAATATTTCATAGTTGATTCATAGTTCACAAAAGTTCACCTTTTAAAAATCTTTGACATAAGTCTTTGCATGTTTTGAGATTCCACTATGATCCTCCAACTTTATTTATAGCCTTCAATATCATCCCTCATCACAAACAAATTTACAAATAAAATTTAGTTATGTAACACTTTACATTATCATTTAAAAACATATAATGCATTATAAAGACAACATTATATCTCCCTCTCACATGACATGTTATAAATGAGATGTAGTGGTGGGAGATTAATTTATTGTTTGTTGCAATCTCCTTTGAGAAATGATTTTTTTAGTTAGTAAAAGGAAAGCTTTTGAAACAATCTATGTTGGAAAAGGCCACGGATACCAACACTGAATTCTATGCCACTAATTATACTAACATCGGATAATAAAATGAAGAAGAATAAGCTAAATGGGGCTTCCAAGCTTCCATTTCCTTATTACATTTATGGAGAGTGAATAGAGAGAGAGGAGGAGAATGGAGTTTGGGTAAAGATCATTAATGATCGCCAATGATGGGACACTAATGAGGGGAGGGGTTAGTGCCTGCCTTATAGTCATAAAAAAGGGAGTAAATTAAATTGGGGTAATTCTAATATTTTCTCTCAACTTAAGGTTTTTTAATAGAAGGAAGTTTATGGAAAAATCTTTTGTGTTGAAGATCAAAATGAGTTTTTTTAATATATGTATGGACCTACATTAAAAGTGATATAAGCCTCATTGTCTCATATGACATTTTACATATAGTTCTGCACCCATATTCATATGGATTAGGTTGATCAAGTTAACATGATAACTTGAATTGAGTTTAGCAAGTCTTTCATCGTGAACTAGTCATAATCTTATATAACATAATACTAGTCAAGTTTAAAGTCTCCAAAAGGCCATGCTCACCTAAAGCCAAATTTTGGAAACTTGTAAAGTGAATATTTATATTATGCCCTTACTATCTAAATATTAAACTTGCCAAAAAGATTGACGAAGGCACCTCTTCATCCAAGATGCCCTCTTGAAGATCTTGACTATAAGTAAAAATTGGTGGCTTGTCAGGTTGGGGTTCTCAAGTGTAAAATTTGTCAAGGGTATGAACCCTCTATCTAAAATGCATCCAAAATTATCTCCTAGTGGACAATTGGCAATAATAATCAATCTCTACAAGATTGGGTGTACCAATTATCTTATCGGCCAAGATATAACAAGAAGAATTGTCTTCAATTCTAATATCTTCCTTTATAATCAATATCCAAAGTCAACTAAAAATACGTAACTACAATAAACATAAATATATAAAACATCACTCCATTTCTTTCATATCATCAAAAGAATCATGTATATCAATCTAGTATAATTATTTTCATTCATAACATCTCACATACATGAAATAATTGGATTGCCAAAAGAATATATGTATAACAAAAAACATACCTATAATCTAAATTTTAACATTATCAACACTTTTATACTATGTTGGGGCTTACCGTTTCCTAAAATGACAAGTAAATATCATAGAATGAGCAATTACTTGTTCTTTAGGTTGCATGAATATGCTGAAGAATTCATATTCAATATTTAAATTAATTGCAAGAAATCCAATGTTAGTTTAAAAAAAATATTTAAATTAATTGCATAAAAGCCAAATATTACATAAACATGGAGTTATTCAATTTCACTTATGTAATATAGTGTTTGCATAAATTTTCATCATTAACTTTATAATAATAGTAAAACTAATGTCAACAGTAGTCCAGTGTCAATAGTATGAACATATCAAGACAATAACATAATCATCGATTGAACTTGTAAATAACAACAACATGAACTTCATTTGAACATCATGATATCATAAACATAATACACAATGAAACATAACATGTAACCTATAAACAAAACATGATTCACATTCATATAGCATATTTTTTGAATCCTCATTATATCTCTACTAGATCATATAGCCCAATTCCCCTTATAACTTTATTTTCACTTATACCTCCATTTGCTCATAACAAATGAAGGAATTATATATAGCATGATTCTTATTATAACTATGCTTCCATTTATATCTCAACTTATTCATCTCACATCTATTCAAGACAAATTGAGGAATTACATGTGTGCATAGGCCCTTATATCTCCACTTGTATTGCACAAAATATAAATCATCTGCCACTTTTACCACCTCATTTTCTCCTGCTTTCCACTCTCACATATCCTTTAACAAATGAACATTATATGTGAATTTCATCATATGAACATGGAGCATCAACACATTCAACATGTATAAGCAACGTTTAGCATGATACTAAAAATATGTAAATTGCATGTGTACAATAATTTTAGTAGTGTGCATGGGATAAAATTTATATACATATTCAATAGTAACCAATTGGAAGATCATTCATGAAGAACATTCATAGCATCATTTTGAAGCATTTATGGTATTTTAGTAATTTCTAAAAATAACAACATACTTATAGAAATACTTGAAATAATATACAAATCAAACTATCTAGTCAAAATTTATATTTTTCTTATGAACATTACTAGAATGTTC